AACTTGAAAACTTGCTCGCAGTGATGAAGATTTAGCTGCTTCTGCTTCACACAAAGTATTTTGCTGAGTTGTTAATGTATTTTTCAGTTTTAATATTTTATCTTTTCATAGTGTCGACGTAAATTGTATTCTTTGAACAGACACTATATTCTGGCATATCAGACACACAGCTCTTTCCTTGTACTGCATGAAAAAGTAATCATAAGTCCACTGTTCTTTGAATATCCTACACTCCGAGTAAATTTTCTCTTTCTTGACATCATTTCCTAGGGAGTCAAAATTGCTATTAGTAAATACCAATATATACAGCGCTACAAAAACAATATACCAGCAATAACTTTGCCCACACAGAGACATACAGACTGCACTGCCCATCAATGCAGTCTGATTGGGGGAACTCCGCTTTTACCCCAGGCTCACACTGGTGCGGGTGCCATTAAAAAGTTAATTACACCTGCAGTTTTGTTCACAGATCGCAGTACATCCCCAGCACACAGGATATCACTGGGAGTAGAGCGAGGGGCAAGTGAGGGAGCTGAGGGAGGGAGAGCCAGTCAAGCGCAGCCAGGGGAGGGCTGGCAGCCTTAGGCCTGGGGGGCTAGTCCAGTCAATTGGCCCATTGAACCATTCACCAGCGCAGCCCAATGAGTGCCCACCGCCGCAGCTCAATCAGTGCCCACCGCCGCAGCCCAATCAGTGCCCCCACCGCAGCCCAATGAGTGCTCACCAGCGCAGCCCAATTAGTGCTCACAAGCGCAGCCCAATTAGTGACCATGGGCCGGATAAATGTCCTCGGCGGGCCGCATGTGGCCCGCGGGCCGTAGTTTGAGGACCCCTGCCTTAAATAGAGAGAGGGGGCGGGGGCGGAGAGAGAGGGAGGGGTTAGATAAATTAGCATGTCAATGAGTAGCACGACGAGAGGTACGGTGCGAAAGCTTGAAAATTAGGAGACAAGAAGAGAGACACACTAAATTAAATAACCTAGCAAAATATCGAAATGTAATGTTGGAAGCACCTCCGAATAGCACGTAAGGTGTGAAAGTAGGTTTAGTCCCCTTTCCTGATGACGACCACTTGTGTTGTGATCGAAAGATCGTGGTTTATTATTTTTTAATTTTAATTACTGAAAGAACCAATAAGTCTACATTATAGACTGCCAGGACGCTCACTCAGGTTAAGAACCAGGCTACAGTCTACATTATAGACTGTCAGTACGCTTACTCAGTTTAATAATCATTGCTACAGTCTACATTTTCGACTGCCAATACGCTCACCAGCTTAAAACCAGGCTACAGTCTACATTATAGACTGCCAGTACACTCACCCACTTAATAACCATTGCAACAGTCTACATTATAGACTACCAGTCAGAGTGGGACAAAGTCATGTTATGCAAGTCCAAGTCGAGTCTGAAGTCATCAAATTCATGACTCGAGTCTGACTCGAGTCCAAGTCACATGACTCGAGTCCACACCTCAGAGGTGGGACAAAGTCATTGTTATGCAAGTCCAAGTCGAGTCTGAAGTCATCAAATTCATGACTCGAGTCTGACTCGAGTCCAAGTCACATGACTCGAGTCCACACCTCAGCTACCAGTACACTCACCAAACTTAATAACCAGGCTACAGTCTACATTATAGATTGCCAGTACACTCACTCCGATTAAGAACCAGGCTACAGTCTACATTAGTGTTTTTTTATTCACTTAAAAAAATGTTTCTATATACGTGACTTTACCGAAAGAACCAAAGAATATGATTACACGTAGTACGGAGTAATGAAAAAAACATCGCTTAGTGTGCCATCTAGTCGTTCATAACAAGCATTGTTCCTAGTTGAATTCGTATTAGACTCCAACAATGTTGGGCAAGTTGGATCCTTGACAGTGTAATAAAACTGGGGTCTTGATTTCATTGACATAAAGTATATGAAGCCATCAGCGTTTTTTTGAAAGCATTACATGCTGTTGATAAAAATGTATTGCATATTTTTCCATATCATTTCTGAATGACCTGGACACCCTGCTTCCTAAAAAAGTTAAAGTCTATCGCCTAATAATTGTGCCTCCTGTTAAAATTGCTTACATTTGGCTATTACGTAGAAGCAGGGCAATGAACAATCCAAATAACTAAACATCTATTTCCAATCTGTGCAATTTGAAATATCACATATCGCAAAATAGGTTAGTGCACTGCTCCCGAAATCCGTGGTAGTGGTGATTCAGAAATCTCCAAAGAAATTCCGGATTTCTGGATCTCTACCAGAAGCGGCGATGACCTCTTGGAATCTACGCCACACCGCGCACATTTTATTTTGCGGATTTCTGGGTCAAACCTCCGCAGTGAAGGCGGATTTACAGGATCGTGATATGTACTCCATATCAATGTGGATTAGGGCTGAACGATTAATCGATTTCAAATCGAAATTTGAAAAATGCGATTAGCAAATTGCAAAGGCTGCGATCTTTTGCGCGTCTGGCCCAGGGTTCAACTGTCGTGTCAATGGTTTGTCTGTGGTTTGTCAATTTATAAGCTATATATGCTGGACATCAATAAATAATGTTCTATTGATTACAGAAAAGTCATATTACTTTAGTAGTAGGTTTTTACCCTTTTAAACTGGTAGAAAACCGACACCTTTATTCAAGGCATCATGTTTGCAATAACCACACACAAGTAGTCAAAAAAGCAAACAAAAGAAGCAACTCTGATAATGATAATAATATGCACTATCATTATCAGAGTTGCTTCTTTTTGTTTGCTTTTTTGACTACTTGTGTTGTGGTTATTGCAAACATGATGCCTTGAATAAAGGTGTCAGTTTGTACCAGTTTAAAAGGGTAAAAACCTACTACTATATTTTGCCACTGGTAAAAGAGATCTCATAGTGTAAATCCTATAACTTTCTTATTGGAATTTTTATTTTATTTTTTATTATAACTTTATACAGTATTTTTTATTAACTATTGTTCTATGTTTGATTGTTCTATTTCAATTAAAGCATTTTAATAAGTACATGTTGGAAGCAATTAATATATTTAAGTTCTCATCCTTGCATTATAATATAGAGCAGTTCTAATTTTGATAATATCATGTGGTAATGCTCCATCACATGTTTTATATCTATTACACAGTCAATATTGAACCGAAGCTTGACTTTAAAAAATGTAATCGCAAATCAAATCGCAATATCTGTTAGAAAATTGCAATTAGATATTTTCCCCAAATCGTTCATCCCTAATGTGGATTACTGAAGTTCTTCTGTATTGGCCTCAGCAAACGGTTCAGTGACACCTGCTGTGCTTAGCGCTACTACATAGTGTAAACCAGTGCGTTGGAGGCAAGTTTTGGTGGCCGAAGGTGGTTTTGTGGTTCGTGGATCATCATCAGCTGCAGCAGCAGTGTCATAGTGGTCACTATATTCTCATATTAATTGATCATAACTGTCATCATTTATCATCTTCAGTCATTTAAGTAACAAAGTCATTTGGCTGAGCAGTATTCTATACCAATACTTCTGCCGTGGCTGATCATTATTTTAATGCAGCTGGCTCACACGAAATTGATTTCTCTAAGACGATGATACTTTTCAAGCCTACTGGCTATCAACAAAGGGGCAGTCCATAAATGACGTCACGCACCTAGAGGGGGGAGGGGGGGTCAGACATTTGTAACGATGCGTGACGAGGGGGGGGGGTGATAAATGTGACGTCACGTAAAAATGCGCAACTTTAAATAAATATTAATCAAATAGAATTGTTATAACACAAATTTTAATTATTAACTATTTGATTATTTAAATTTACTAAGGTCACATTTTATTTATTCCATGAAGGAGCATTTTGCTTCTCCATGGGAGAATGGAGAAGCATACATTTTGTAAAAAATTTGAATAGTTGTTATTAAACATTTTTATTCTAATGATTCTACCAGGGCTTTTCATTGTGAAATGAATGTGATTGTTATAATTATACTCTCCATTTTGCTTCGTTCTACTACAAAGTTTAAAGTATTTTTATAGTTATAACTACTTTTAATATTTTATTATTATAAGATAATTTCAATATAAATTCTGAACATTTGCAGTTTTAGTTAGACGTTGAATATTTTCAAGTGAATTTTATGTTAAATTTCAGCTTTCCAACGCCTCCTTTTTAATACGTGTTTTCTCCTACAACATCAGAGTGCAGCGCCACATTAAATACGCACTACAATGACAATAGTTAAGTCATTTGAAGAAAGTTTTATTTTCAAAATGGAAATATGGTTGGGGGGGGGGGCAGAGCTTTGTGACGTCATTTTGAGAGGGGTTTGCCTTTTTGTGACGCCGTATGAC